CTGAGCTCACCCTCTCTTCAGAGGCTTTGCAAGAACTCTGCTTGGGCCCGAGCTGGTTCTGGAATTTTCTTTGTCCTGTCGTCCTTGGGAGGCTGGTCACAGACACATTCCTCTTTTCACTCGGACTAGCGGGAAGCTCAGAGTCCAGTTTGCAGCCCACCTTTGAGTTCATGGAAGCCCATCTGGAGCACGTTCCCATGGGCCGGTTGTACGGTTCATTCCAGCACTGTGTTCTTGGGTTTGTTGAGATCTATTTTCATCCTATTGTGTTTCATGTTTTTTAGAAGCTGCTTCCAGTCCTTGTTGGAACAAGGCAAAGCAGAAATTCAAAATAAAGGTTAGCAGTGTCATGTGGCTGATATTTTGACACCCCAGGTCACTCTGGGGTTGGATGCACAAGGGGGCGGGCAGGTACCCTTGGCTGAGGGTTCCCCACTGGACAACAGCAGTGTGGAGAGTTAGAGCATCAGGTAAACAAGTCAAGTCACCCCCACTCTTCTGCCAGCAAATGCCTCTCCCTCCCCCAAAATGTTCTCTGCAGTCTCCGTCTGCCTGCTGGCAGGAAGCCACAGGCCCTGGCAGAGACTGTAGAGGGGGGACGCAGAGGCAAAGGTCCCCAACTTCCCTTTACTTCATCCTCAAACCAGAGCCTTCAGAGCCCGGGGGGTCCTTGGGTGCAGATTACATGAGGGCCGGCGCAGGAAAGGAAGACCCTCGATGAGATGGATTGATTCTGTGAGTGGAGTGGTGGGAATGAGTGTGTTTGAGACTGCGAGGTTGGCACAGGCTAGAGCGGCATTTTGAGCTCTTGTACACAGGGCTGCTATGAGTCGCAAGCTACTCGATGGCACATAACAACAATAAATGTACCAGGTAGAACATCTGCCCATGTGTAGGGAAAAGGGGCACTTTAGGGGCTCAGCTGCCACACACAGTGCACCCCTCATCTGGCCCTTGTTTGCCAGGCCACAGTACCAAAGCGACCAAGGACTTTTAGGGTCCCTGCTTTGTGGGGCTCCGCTCACATGGGCTTGGCCCGACCCTTTCCCTCCATCTGTAAAATTAATGCAGCGGTGGGCCAGATCCGACAAGGTTGGGGATACCCTAAAACTCTCGTCTCTTCTTACACCTGGATACTCTGTCTCGGAGCTGATTCCACCCGGTCGTTATTCATTGTGTTCACTACACCCCTCGGCGGCCCCGCAGACCACCTCGCTCCATCCCGCATCACCTCACAATCTTCATCACGTTCAGGCTCCCTGCTTTCACTCTGTGTCATCCCCGTCTCCGCAGGCTTTCCCCTTCCCCCTCCACCTTTCCGACATGACGCCTTTCCCCACAGACTGGCTGTTCCTGACGACATACCTGAAGGATGAGACAGATGTCACCACCCTTCCCTCCAAGGAGCTCCTTGCATTTCCTCCAAGACAGCTTTGCTTGTTCTTTTCGCAGTCCGTGGGACAGTCACCCTACACACCACACAGACCCCACAGACCCAGGCCGAATTCCCCGTGGGACTGCCACATCTGTCATCTCCACATTGCAGAGTGCCACCGCTTTCTCTGGAGTGGCGGCTGATGGACTGGAACTCCTGGTCTCTGGGCTAGCAGCTGAACGCTTAACCACTGTGCCACTGGGTTTTCTACCCTCGCTTCTTAACCTGGTGCTGTCGCGTCCGTTTCCTTAGCGACCCAGAGGGTCAGAGTACAGCCACCCCATGGGGTTTCCACGGCTGCCCCTCTTTCTCCCACAGGCCCTCTCCTCCTGGGATCCTGGCATTTTGGGATCTGGAGTTCCCAGCCACAATGGCAACTCCTTGAAGGTGAGACCAGGCCGGGTCCCCCAGAGGCCCCCAGGGATGGGTCTTTCTCCGACCATGATCAAGAAGGGAGCTCCCTGGCCCCTTGAGGACCGTGGTTGGGCGTCCAAGGGTTCTCCTTGGGGGTTAATGCCTGCGAGGGACCGTCCTACCCCTGTCCTTCTGGCCCACATCTGCTCGAGGTCACCAGGCCAGTGCTTCCCTCTTGTTAGTGTTACCTCGAGTGCAGCCCATAGGCCCCCACCACCCACTGCAGGTCCCACCCCTGCTCCTTCTCCCCTCCCTCCCTTCCCTCAGGTCATTCCCAGTCCCAGCCACCTTTCTCATTAGCTCTAATGAGCCCTTCAAGGGCAGAGAACTGGGTGATATTTAATTCTACATCTAATAGCTTCCTGGGTGAGAAGCTGAGCCACGAACAGGTGCCCAACTTTCTCTACATGCCCCAGAGAGGAGGGCTCCTGCCAGGAAAGGAGTCACCACCCGGCCCAGGCCTGGGATGTCTGATTGTCAAGAGTCAACAGAGCAGAATGTGGGGGTGGAAGTGATTAATCCAGAGTCCAGCCGGGCAGGCAGAGGGTCCCCACCAATGCAGACACCGCGAGCTCATTTCAGAAACTGTCCCGTGCTGTGTGAGGTGAAAGGGCACATCCCTTCCTCTTGAGCTGATCTCACATCATGGTCACTCTCCGCTTCAAGGTCACTCTCCTTCGTTTTCTTTTCCCAGGTCCCGAATCTTCATGGGAGAGATTCCATCTTTCTCCTGTGGATTCAAACTGCCAACCTTTCCATTAGCAGCCCAACATGAACGGACCCTCTAGAGCTCGCTGCAATGAAAAGCTGTACCATTGAGCGGAAACCAACTCAGCTGACGCATCTTTCAGCATTCTGACTCAGAAGCCAAGGAATGCAACCTGGAATGAAACGCTGGCGACGTGGCCTCAGTGAGCACAGTGCTGCATCTGTAAAATGGGGATGTGCAGTGTCCCACCTGTGTTCCTTCTCTAGGGGTGCCGGGACGAGGGGGAAGAAAAGGGGGAACCCAAACCAGACCCACCGACCCATCAGTTGACTGTGACTCTGGGTAGCCCTCGGCCCCTTTTCTCAGCTCCTCAAACAGCAGATTATGAGGCTGGTGCAGGACGGGACAGTGGTCACTATGGGTCAGAGCTAACTTGGTGACAGCTGAGGGCTGAAGGAGCACCCGGCAGTATCCAGGGGGGTTGAGAGTACAGGCTCTCTGCTTTAATAATAGCCTCACACACACTGTATCACACACAGGCAGGATCCCCCTTCACAGATGAGAAGACTGAGGCTGAAAGCAGTGAAGTGACCTGCCCATGGGTTTCCAACTGATGAAAAGGCACAGAGTCCCAAGACCCAGGGCAGGAGGGCGCACGAGGACCTGTCCTTCTGGAAGTTCGAGGACACTGGATGCGAGAGGACGGAGAAAAGCTGCCTCAAACCCTCCACGCACTAAGTCACAGGCAGCCCCGGGAACCCCATCCTCCACCTCACCCCAGAAACAAAGAGACACACACTGAGGTGCTTTAGGGCTTTTTAATGTTTTCTCACCATTTAACAACATTCTGGGGAATGGGGGAGTGGAAATTACAGTTTAGAATCTGGAAGTGACCAGTTGGGATGGGTTTCACGGGCAGCTGCTGGGGGCTGCGGGACCCCACCTGACGGCTCCCCCACCTAAAGGGCTAACAGCTACGAGGCACCGGAGCCCAGAGTGCACGCAAGGCAGGGACTAAGTTAGTGTCTTTCAGAGTCAGGGTCCGGCAAAAACAGAGGCGGGGGTGCAGACACCCACCAAGCCCTTGGTCAGAACCCTCGTTTCAATTCACTCTACCCGTGCCACCCTCACCTTCACCCCATCAGCTATAGTCAGGAGGACCCAGGCCAACCTGCTCCCAGGTCAGAGGAGTCACCTGGCATTCATGCCCAAGCTTCCACTCAAGCTCCTCAGGCCTGAGTGGCAGGAGGAACCCCCCCACCCCACCCCCGAAACGCAGACTTCAGAGAAACTGAAAGCACCACCTTTGTTCCTTGTGACAATTGGAACTCCCTGACCCGGAACTGTCTGCTTCCTCTCTAAAACTCAGCGTCCTGGGCGGTTTATTTGCTTTTGCTCCTATAACTGGGGAATCCTCTTTGTGGGGGCCCTTGTCTTCAAAAGTGGGGGGGGGAAAGGGGTTCAGTCAGCAGAGAAACCTTGAAAAACAAGTACGGGGGTTGTCAGTTTGAGGGTGTAGGGTAGAGGGGGAGCAACCTAATCAAATGAAGCTTATTTACCCCCACGGGAAAGATATATTCTTGGGGAGTAAGAATAAAAAAAGCCAGGATGTCTTCTTCCACACTGGCCTTGCTCAGTTGTGAGCAGGTATGGAGAAGAGGTCAGATGCACACAAAGACCATCACCCAGCCAGGTAACACCCAGTGCTGGGTTATCAATATCAAGGCTTCCTCAAAGGACTGATTTTTCTTCTGGCGGCAGACCTATGGATACTTCCTGATATTGCTCTAGAAGGATTTAAAAACAACAATAAAGCACAAACAAACCTATAGGGCGGAGCCAGCGCCCCAGCCCTGTGACTAGTGTTATTCACAGAATGCTCCTTCCCAAACCAGAGAAGCCTGGGGCCTTGCCTGTGACCCCAATCCTGTCCACACACCTCTGACAGCGGTCTTATTTAGTGTATACATTTGGGGCTAGCTGCTGGGTCCTATTAGCTCCCAGGGGCTGCAGGAAACTGGATGGAGAAGTGGGGGACCAAGAAGGGAGCCCCACTCTTTCCTCCTGCTACACACGCTTGAACCAGGCACAGTGCAGAAAAGAGAGCGGCGAGTTCCTAGCCCTGGCACTGAGACTGCCTCTGTGCTCACCTGTGACTTCAAAGGTAGCAGAACTCAGGTGGCCACCGGCCCCCAGTTAAGAGACGGCAGGCCCAGAGAGGGCAGCCAATTATGCTGTGGGCATGTAACCCCAGTCTGACAAAACGAGGGGAGACTACAGCGGGCAGTGAAATCAGCTGATCAGTCAGTCCCCATGCCAATGCCCTGAGTCCCCTCAGGCCAGGCCAGGATCCCGGCCCATTAAGGTCCAGCTGTCTTGGTGGAAGATGAGTGGGTGGCACAGGACGGAGAGGCGGCCAGCAGCCAGGGGAGCCTCGGGTCCTCACACTCGGATCTCATCCTCCTCCTCCTCGTCTATGAAGGAGAACTCCTTGTCGGGCTGCCTCGGGACTGTGGCCCGGGGCCTGTCCGGCCCCCGGAAGGCGGGGTTGCGCTCCTCCAGGACCCCCGAGGTGCAGCTGGACAGGGAGCTGCTGTCCCGTGTGGTGTGGCTGCCCACGCTGCGGGCCGAGCTGGGACTGGGGGCTGCCGCTGCCCACCCCTCATCCTCCAGGGCCTGGGAGGGCAATGAGGAAGGGTCCTGCCCGGCCTTGCCCTCCTGCGTGGCCGGCGGAGGGGCCGCCGAGGTGGGAAGAGGGGCCTGGGCAGCCAGACTCCCGGGGTCCTCCTCATCGTCGTGGTAGCCCCCGTCCTCCTCGCCCTCGGGCGGCCACTCGTCCTTGTCCATGATACTGAGCACGTCGCCCAGCATGGACGGCCCCAGGTCGATGTGGAAGGACATGATGGACTCGGCGTGCTTCAGCCCGTAGCTGGCCTTGGGCACCACGGGCAGGTCAGCCAGGTCCCCGAAGGCCTGCTCGTCCAGGAGGGGGTCGAGTGTGTGGGGGCCCCCTGCCCCGTTGCGAGGGGACAGCCCCTCTCCCACACCCCGCTCCTCGTCGGCCCCCTTCTTCACGGGGCTGGACGACAGGCTCTTGGGCAGCTTGCTTGAGCCCTTCTCCGCGGCCTCCTTCTCGTTGAGCTGGGGCAGGGACATGGCGTTCTTGACGAAGAGGGCCGAGTCCCGCAGAGAGCCCAGCATGTCCCTCTGCTCCTGGTCACCTCGCGTCACCGACTGCGACCGCTTGCTGCCCCTGAACTTGCGGGACAGGAGGCCGCGCTTGGAGGATGAGGCGGAGGCCTGCTCGTCCAGGGACTCGCCGTCCACCTCGCCAGCCTTGCTGTTGAGGAAGGAGGTGTCCCCGAAGGCGTCCCCCGCCCGGCCCACGTGCATGGTGTGGCGGAAGTCGCCCAGAGGGGCGCTGATCATCTCGGCCGTGAGGTCCACGCGGGACCGGCGCTTCGAGTGCACGGAGCTGGACACCAGCTGCTTGAGGATGGGCATGGTGCCGCGGGGGGCGTGGGGGGCGGCCGGCCCTCCCAGGTCCTAGAGGCGAAGGTGGGCAGATGTGGAGTCCAGCAGTGGGGTCTGCGGGGGCTGCGTGCGACACCGGGGTGATCACAGGGCTGCAAGCAGAGAACAGGAGGCACAGGGTTAAACAGGGCTGGGCCCCCAGCACACACGTCGGTCACTCAAAACCTTGAAGACACACCTGGTAGTGCATAACCCAAAGGTTGACAGTTCTAACCCAGCAGGTGCTCTGAGAGAGGAAGACGGTCAGTCTCCTTCTGTAAAGGTTTACAGCCTCTGAAAACCTCACAGAAGTTGGTTCCGCCTCACGGCACCTTTTCTGTGTGTCACAGAACGGTACTCCATCACAGTCTCAAAGACTGCTCAGGAGAGGACTGCCAGGCCTTTCTTCCGAGGTGCCTCTGGGTAGATCTGAACCTCCTACCTTTTGGTTATCGTCAGGGCGCTTGAACGGTTTGCACCACACCACCCTGGGATTTCCATCTGCCATGGGGCTGACAGTTAAACCCCAGCTCCCAGACCACCACAGTGCAAATCAAGTTAAAGGAGCCAGCTTGTGATGTGGCAACGCAGACCATTTCTTCACTCATACCCATAGGCTCTCAGGTCAGGGGAGGAATTACTGCAATCTGGTTAAGAGGTCAAGTGAACACACACACACACACACACACACACACACACACACTTTCCCTGATGCAATCTCTCGGCCCCAGCCACATTCGGGATGTGACGCCTCAGAAAGCTATGTGCCGGCTCTAGGACGGAGACCCGGCTTAAGACGTGACACCTTCCAACAGCCAGCCTGGAGACGTCCTGGTAAGTTCTTCCTGCTGTCTGACCTAAATCCCTGTGGAGTGAGTGGACAGCCTGGCCTGAGTCACAGTCCTCAGAGCGGAGCATGAAGGCAGGGCTGGTGGGCGGGCAGCCGGCAGCCCCAGGGTGACTGACTGCCCAGCCCAGGCCTCCACGCGTGGGTAGTCTGGCTTTCTTTCTGAATCAGCCCTGGGGTGGGGCTGCCGAGCCCACAGAACCAGCTCCCCAGCCCTTGCTGGGTGTTCCGTGCAGAAGGACCCCGCCTCGGACGTCTCCACCACGAGGCCCCGAGCTCTCTGCCAGGAGGCAAGTCTGGGGAACACCCTCTGCTTCTTTAATCATTGCAGGTGGAGACTTCAGCTCCCCCAGGACCTGCAGACCCCTGGTCATTATGTCCAAAGAATAGAGGGCAAAACTAGGGCAGCAGCAGCCTGGAACCTGCAGCCGAGGCTCGCGGTGCCACTGAGACTTTAAGTTCAATGCTGGGGCCGAGCCCAGCGGTGCAGGGCAGCGGTGCAGGGCTGCGGAACGCCAGGAGGACCACCGTGTGGCATGTGAAGGGTCGTATCTTCTTCACCATCCCTGCCAGGAGTATGCTCTCAGGGACACCCTCGCTCCAGGCTCTCACTTTTCAGCCCTAGATGTGGTGGACATCCTCCGCCAGCACCCTGGACTGGAAAGGCAGGCAGACTGCAAAACGAGGCCTGGGGAAGCGATGGTTAATGGAAAGGCTGAGGGTTCTAACCCACCCAGTGGCTCTGAGGAGGAGTGACCTGGAAGCCTGACTCTGTAAAGATTGCTGTGTGCCATCAAGTGGATTTTATCCCAAAGTGACATTGTAGGACAGAGGACAATGGGCCCTGGGGTGCCCTAGGTTGTGATGCTGAATGCTCAACCACTGTACCACCAGGGCAGACATGACAACCCAGGAACCACACAGGGCACCTGTGCTTTGTCATGTGGCGTCATCAGGAGTTGATGGCAAGTAGCAACAATGACCCAAGTGTCACCATTTGCTTCCTAACCCCTCATCACTCAGCCCTCTCCCCTCCCTGTACACCCTTGCCCTCTGCCCCCGAGCCTCTGCCCACTCAACCCTAAGAACGCCGTGGCATCTGACCCTCCCAAACTCCTCCTTCAGAGCTCAGCTGGAGCATCAGTTCTTCTGAGAAGCCCCCCTGAGCCCCCAAGCCAGGACTGGACTCTTGGTCCAGTGGCCCTTTGCCTTCACTCTGAGACTTTCTCAGCCTTTGGTGGAGAGCACCCTGGGCTGGTATCAACAAGCTGTCCAAGTCCAGCTCTCCACTGGTGGCCGAGAGGTGCAGAGAGGAGCATCGAGCATTGTTACTGCCTGGAGAAAGTTCTAGTACGAGCTGACAACGAAGCCGGTGGTCACCGGGCTGGATCGCTGTTTGTTCTGAAGGGCATTTAGCAGCACCCCCGGCCTCCACCCACTTGATGCCAGGAGCAGCTGGCATCTCCCACCGGGACAATCAGAAACGTCTCTGTGGTTGGGGGCCATCCTGTCCCTTTCCACTCGTAGTGACCCCGTGTGGCAGAGCAGAATTGTCCCACAGGGCTTTCCAGGCTTCTCCTCTATTGGAACAGGTCATCAGGGCCTTTTCTCACACAGTAGCTGGAAGTTTGAACTGCTGACCTTTTGGTTAGCGGCTGAGTGTGTAACACCACCAAAGCCCAAACCTACAGCCATCAGGTGGACTCTGATTCACGGTGGACCCCGTCCTGGGTTTCCAAGGCCGTATCTCTTTACAGAGAAGAGAGCCATCTTTATCCTACGGAGCGCCTGTGGACTCAAACCACCGACCTTTTGGCTAGCAGGCCAACATGTAACACACCGTGCCACCAGAGCTCCCTGTTGCACCAAGGCTCCTTAAAAACAGCTCATAGCTAGGGAGCTCTGGTGGCCTAGTGGCAAAAAGCTGCACTGCAATCCCAGAGGTGTGTGGTTCAAATCTACTTGATGCTCTGCTGGAGACGGAGAGGCAATCTCCTCCTGTATCAGTCAGATCTGATTTGACGGTACACACACACAAAACAATAAAACATAAAATTTAAAAAATACCAAGAAAAACCAACCCTACCTCAAAACAAAAACAAAAAAACCAACCCCCCCCCAAAAAAAAAACCCAACCAACCAGCTCATAGCTGCTGAGTTGATTCCAACTCATAACTGTCTACTGAGTTTCCAAAGCTGGAAGCCCCAACAGGAAAGGACTGCCCGCATTTCTCTGGCAGTGGAGCTGGTGGTTCAAACCGCAGCCCAACACTTGACCTACTACACCAGCAGGACTTCAAAACGGAGCAGGACGCAGTCACAGGAAGAATCAGCATCGCAAGAGGTTTTGCTATAAGGACAGGAATCCCCAGGCCCAGTCAGCAAAGCCCACGCTGTGATTCCCCTGAGGGTGACCACTCATTAGAGGAAACCACAGCCCCGCTGTCCAGGCAGGACTAGCCCAGGGCTGTGCAGACCTGGCCATCAAGTGTAACCATCCCTTGTGGGGAGGACTGGGGAGGCGGGTGAGAAGGACAGTGTGAAGAATGAGATAGAATCTAAAGGAAGCTCAGACGTGCCCAGCTCACCCAGCGGCCCCCAGGAGAGTGATATGCCCTGTGCTCCCCAAAGTCAGTTGGCCAATGCTGTCTATTTTCCTGGTCTTGCTCCCTGGAGATGGACGGAGAAAAGTGGGGCTTTGTGGCCCATGGGGAAACATCTTCCACGGACCAGTCACTCAGGAAAAGTCAAAAGAGCTGGAGCTCTGATGGACCAGGGACGAGGGAGCCGCAGCCCACAGCCGGGGGAGCCTCGGTCCAAGGAGGACAGGGTCATTATCTGCATTTCTAGAGCTGCCACTCAGCCCACGTAGAACAAGCCACGGCGCCGCGTCTGTGCCAGAGGACAACTCACTCCACGGGCACGTGAGGCCTTTGGCTTCATCCCCGAGCACCATCCAAGCTGGTTCCAGGTGATTCATTCCCAGGTACAGCCCTTGGCGAGTCCTACCTGGACAGCAGGGAGAGTCAAGCACTCACCTATAAATGCAAAGGCTGGAGGCGTGAATCTACCCCAGGTGCACGTTGGAAGAAAGGCTTGGCAATCTCCCTCCAAACAACCTTATGGGGCCACTGTACCGGCAAACAGGGAGGAGAGCCGAACTGGGGTCACCTTGACGGTGACGGGGTTGATTTTTCTGAATGACACTGAGTCACCCTAAGTGTCTACAGAGAAGGGCCTGGGAGGAGGAGAGGGGCCACGGAGGTGGCAGTACAAGCAGGTAAGGGAGTCCCGGCTCTGACCAGAGGCTGCCCCGTGGGAGGCCCTGCAGTGAGCACCCCGGAAGGAGATGATGCCAGAGAAGTGATGGCTTTTGAGAGAGAGATGCTGCTAAGTGCGGTGACTCAGCTCTGGGGAAGTGGTTAAAATTGGCTGTCCACTCTGGGCAGCCACTCCCCGCAGCCTGGCCTGGGCCAGGACACTCCCAGCCATCCTGGAAGCCACATCCGCTTTCCAGGCAGAGCATGGGGACACTGAAGAACAAAGCGCGCCTCCCTGGAGGGCCCGGTGCCCACAGAACCGCTGGGTTCTGGAAGGCTGGGCCAGGTAGCACGCCCTCAGCTGGGACTGCTGGCTTTGCTGACAGCTGCTGCTGGATCAGCTGTGACTCACGTCGACCCCCTGTGATGGGCAGAACTGCCTGGTGCGAGTTTTCTTGGCTGTAGACATTTCTTGAGCAGAACGCCAGGTCTTCATTCTGCAGAGCTGGGAGGTGGGCTCACCTGCCAATCAGGTAGCAGCCAGTGCTTTCCCCCTTTGTGTCACCAGGGCTTCCGGTTCTAGTGGATAAACCCGCCCTCTCACCCATCTTCCGGGCACCACTGCCGAGGCACCAAGACCACTGTCCCCAGAATAGTTGGCCCCCAGAGTGACAGGAGGGCCCAATGCACTTCAAAAGCCCAGCAGTGGCCTGTCCCTGGCAGCTCCGCCCGAACCCCAGCATGACAGGCTGAACCCCCAGCAGTGGCCTGTCCCTGGCAGCTCTGCCCGAACCCCAGCATGACAGGCTGAACCCCCAGCAGTGGCCTGTCCCTGGCAGCTCCACCCGAACCCCAGCATGACAGGCTGGCCCAGCGCACTCTGA